CGGCGTTTATGGACCACAGTTTGAGGAACTTGCAGTGTTGCCTTTCCAGTATCCATATAGGTCTGAATTTCTTTCTCTAAGAGAGTCTCCTGCACCCCCAGTTCCTCTGTAACTACCACTTCCTGGGGGACCTTTTTGGATGCTTTCTTATCTGAAATCTCAAGAGTAGCACTGCAGATGGATTTTCCGTGCTTGTTGGTTATGATGCAGTCATATCTCCCCTCATGATCGGTTGTTGGATAAAATACAGTAAGCTTAGAGTGGTAGGATTTGCTAATGATATCATAATCTGGGTTGTCTGCAATTTGGTTGCCATCTTTGAGCCAGTTAACATCAGGAAGAGGATCACCTTGGAACTGGCAAGTAAACTCAGTCATCCCACCAGTTTTAACTTTAAGTGAAAGTATTTGTTTTACAAATATCGGGGGAGAGCCTGGAGATTCTGTATTGCTTTGTTTTACCCTTTGATACTCGGTATGTTTAAACTCATTTTTTTTGGCAGCTTGTGCAGATCTTTGTTCTCCATTTCCTCTATGTCTAAACGAATCTTCATCTCTTTCATCTTTTTGTGCACCTGCTAAACCTTGTCTCCATCCACTCTTCTTTCCAGCGGTTCCTATCTCCTCTTTTAAACCTCTCTCATCTCTTACATCTGTCTGGAAGCGTTGGTGGCTGTCTCTGCTGCTGGACTCAGAATAGTGCTCCCTGCTCATCGTTCTCTCAGCTGTTCCTCCCATATCATCTAATGGAACTGAAGGGTGATAAGGTAAAACAACTTTTTCAGGGGCAACAGGGGAACCCACTTTAAGAGATAAAGTCCTGCCTTTGGGAGGAGTCGGTGTGACAAAGGACTGCTCATTTTCTGCAGCTTGTTGAGCAGCTGGAAGTTTTGCATTTGGAAATGCAACTGATGAATCATGATGGATTTCATGGTGCACTGGAGGAAGACTAGACTCAAACCCAGGGCCAGTTTGTTTACAGTGATTGTCCAAAGCCCACTCTGACTCCAGCTCAGCCACCTCTTCTTGCTCAACAACATCTTCTTGCCATTTTCTGATACGCTGAGCCATTGCCTCTTCCTCACTTACAAAGTAATCACTGTCTGTCTGCAGTCTTGTCTCACGGCCTTCTGTCGGCAGCTCCTCAGCTGGTGGCCACTGAGAGATATTCCCCTTCTGGTCTTCGAAAGCGGTTGAGGATGAGCCAGTCAGCAACTTCTCCTCAGCTGTTTGTCCAGGAAAAACCCTTTGGTTGTGGGCCAACAGGGGTTGCTGAAATTTTGGCAATGCAGAGGTTTCTGGGAAGGTTTTTTTAACCTCAGAAGTCATCTTAGCCTGTAATGAAGGATAATGCTCTGCCCAATCTGACTCTACCTCCACAGCCTGCTGTTGTTCCAGAAGAACATCCTGCTGCCATTTCATGATCCTCTGAGTAAGGGCCTCCTCTTCACTGACAAACTTCTCACTCTCACTTTTCAGTTCAGAGATGTTCTCTTGTGAAAGCTGGAGCTCTCGTTGTTCTCCAGTCCTCTCATATAACTTCTTCTCCATTCTGACTCTTGCCCTAGGTGACTGAACTTCCCCTTCCTTTGTTTTACCTTTTATCTTGGGAGATTTCTGTGCTAACATCGGCACTTCTGGTTCCTGTTGTTCTATTTGGGTCTTCACTCTGGCTTTAGGTAGGACAGCAGATTGTTCTTCTTCTACTGCTCTAACTGCCACTGTGTGCGGTTTTGACTTTGGATTGTGAGAATGAAGTGGATCAACTGGTGGTCCTTTCTCCACCACCTCCTGCTGAGTATAAATGCAGTCCTGGGGCTTCATGTATTGGGTATCGGCTGGCAAAGGCAGATCGGTTTCAGGGTTAAAGGTCTCTTCCTCTGACATTCGCACACCCTGCTGCCATTTCCTAATTCGTAGAGCCAGAAGTTTTTCCTCGCACTCTACCCTCTCAGCTTCCAGGCTTTTTTCATAGTGATCCCTCAGAGACTCCTCTGGTTTAGCTCTTGGTTTAGCAGGATCAAAAGCAGGAGACTTCTCTACTTCCTGTCCTCTGACTTTTATTTTAGGTGATTTTGGAGTTGGGGCCTCAAGATCTAGTGGACTTGCCTTTAACATGGGAGATTTATTGAAAGAAGAGGGTGTGGTCTCAGCTCCCTCAGTTGATTTTTCCTCCAGAACCTCCGGATGGGAGTAAGAGTATCCTGTGGGTTCCATGTACTCCACTTCAGCTTGCAGAGGAACATCAGCTTCTTGGTGAAATATTTCCTGCTCTGACATGACGCTTCCTTGCTGCCATTTCCGAATCCGCAAGGCAAGGAGTTTGTCCTCACACTCTTTCCTCTCAGCTTCCAAGCTCTTCTCATACTGGGCTCTCAGGGATTCCTTCTCATAACAATCATCTCCTTCAGAGCTTTCTGGGATTTGAGATATTTCCTCACTTCCACTGAGGAGCGAAGCATCCTTTTTAACACAAATCCTGGGTTCCAGATCTTTGTGGGACACCCCAACCTCTGTCTTTTCAGTTTCCACTTGATATTTACTTACCATTAGCTGAACTCCAGTATCAGCTTGAGACTCAACGGCTGGTTTGTCCTCCAGTTGTTCTGTGATTTTATCAACTGATTTTCTTTCTTCCTGGTGCAAAGTCATGCCAACCAGCTCACCTTTCATTATCTGAATGGCTCTGGTTCTAGACTGAGGTTCAAATGAGTGTCTTGTCCTAGGGTGAGAGGGTTGCCTGCCTGAGGCTTTCTCACCCTCATCCTGTGGTCGGCTGAAATGCTGGACATCAGGCAGAGAGGCAGGCTTTAACCTCAACCTCTCTACATACTCTGCATAGCTGGACTCACTAGCAACCGACTCCGCCTCAAACTCAGAAGAGGACATGGTGGAAATAGAAAGTCTCTTCTTCTGTTTCACCGCTTTCTGCAGGGTTGTAAGCTTTGCCCGCACCTCGTTGTGGAGGCTTTCAGTGTCGCTGAACCGGTCACTGTACCTGTCACTGCACCTGTCACTAAACTTATCGCTGAATCTACCTCCAGTGCGCCGGTCGCAGTAGATATCACTGAACCTATCATTAAATCGCTCCGACCTGTCAAACATGGGGGGAGGGGATGGGGCACGCTCAGAGGCAGTCTCCAAACGTCTGGATTCCTTCTCTGATTGTTTGTCTAAAGAACCTGTACTAGATCTAAAGTACACGGTGCGCACCAGGGCAGTCTTGGATCGGGACCTACCCTGGTGGACTTTGGACATCTTGTCAAACGGAGATCCTACACATCTAAGATCAACCCTAAACTTCCTCTCCTTCCTCTGCTCTGCCAAGTTGTCCACACTCTCATGTGCCTTGGCTGAGCGCCGGACAAAGCCTAGATAGTTAGCAGACTGCTCCTCCCTGAGCGAAACCAAAAGTGATGCTGTGGACTCAGCAGAACCCTCTGAGTTTAAGGCCATCACCTTATAACTGCCAGAATCTTTTTCCCTGATACTATCAATAATAAGACTTGTGGTGTGCATGTGCATCTTGCTGTCAGTAAAGATCCTACGTCTGCGCTCCTTGGGGATAGATCTGTTGTTATGAAACCAAAGAACAGTTGGCACAGGGCAAGCCACCAGTTTACACCTTAACTCCACCGGTTCCCCTTCAAGGACCGACTGGAACTTGAGTTTCTTTGTGAAGGACGGTTTAATGTTCTCCGTCCATGAGCTGATTGACGAGGTTCTGCTGGAGCAGCGGTTAGCCGACACCAAGCCATGATCGAGAAACTCCTCAGTGTCGGAGAAGGCTCCGCGGAGCTGCCGGGTGCCGCTGAGCTCATTGATGCTGCGTACGTCTTCCCTTCGGTGATACAACGCTTCTGCAAACAAAAGCACACGACAGTCAGAACGGCAAGCGTCCCAGGGGTAAAGAGAGATGGATAGGATGATCTTTAATGGGAATATATTAAATGCATGCAGGGAGTCACAATGCCATAAAAAATAATTTCACTCACCATATTTGTTCGAATAAACGCAAGACTTGATTCTTTTTATTAGAAACCTGCAGGAAGTTTTGATCCTTCGTCTGTGGAAATTTCTTCAAGAGAGATTATTTTATGATTGTTAAAACATGTCGGCCAACATTCGCTTGTTGTTCTTTCTGATGGTTGCGCTTTTGCTAGAATGTTCCTTACCTGACTTGCAGACAGCAGAATAAACGCCCTTTCTAATCTTTAACAGGCTATGAATGAAGCTCAAGCTCTCCAATATGGATTTTTCATTTCAGGAAATTAAAAAGAAAATGAAGCCGTAAAATTGTGTGAGAAGGCGTTTATTCGAACTAATATAGTTTGACTGGTGTTATTTTGGAAGCAAACCACAGGAATCACATCCCACTATCTGCAAGCCAGGCTAGGACAGATTCTGCAGGAAGACTGTATCAGTCCCAGATGCAGAAGACCTCCATATCTTTTAAAGGGCATTTCAAGTCTTTGAAAAGAGCTTTAAAAGACACACATCCTGTGCCTTTTTCTCTGGGATCAGGGGAACCTTCATGCCGAAATGAGTTTAAGGATGCAAAGTCTTTAAAAACTGGAACAAGCAAGTTCTTTCAGTGCTTCTCCTGGAGGAAACCATGGAATGTCATCAAAACAGAAGAAACAGGTGGAGTTTTTCCTTTGAATCGCAGAAATCTCACATGCAACTGTGGAAAATAACATACTTCTTAAAGGGACAGTTCAACTTTTTATCTTGTTCCCAAGTCTGTGGGTGCAGGACAACTCTGATCCAATCAACAAGCATGCATCTGCACATCAGTTTCTCTCATCAGGACCTTCATGGCTTCTCCGTGTCAAGAAACATCTCAGAACCACAGCTTGGATCAGAGTTAGCTGCTAACAGACTACTTTTGCAAAGAAAAGTCAGGAACCGGGTTAAACTGTCCCTTTTTTTCCATTCATTGTGTTCTCTGGTGTGATCGCAGTAATCGTTTGTAATAAGGCCATAGAGGCGAGCTCTTACCTTTGACTTCCTCTTCAACTGTGGCTTCAATCTGCTCCCTCACAAGAGTCACTGTAGAGGAAAGAGACATCAGTGCATCAGTTAGCCTGACGATGCAACAGCTCTGCCATAAACTAAATAAATTCCTCTTAACACATGGAGGTGGCATCACTTTATGACCACGTGTACAATGTGCTGTTTCTGTCTGAGCTTTGCTGCAAACACCACTAAACCTCTGAAGGTGTGTCGGGGTTCTGTCAGACCAGCATAGCTATAGTCAATATGCATGCGCAAGACGTCAGATTTGCATTTATACCTTTAGTTCTGTTTGAAAATTACACTTTAAACTACCTCAACGTGCGGGTATCCCTTTAGTCATGTACCAAAAAAAACAATTTAAGGTCAGATCGCCATACGCTTCAAAAAACACCAAAAAGTAAGTAATTAAATTGTTTTTTTTGTACATGACTAAAGGGATACACACCCGTTGAGGTAGTTTGAAGTGTATTTTTCGTTCAAAACTAAAGGGATTAACTAAAGGAATAAGCTAAAGGGATGAACGGGTTTTGACTATGGGTATACGGGTCTGACTGGGTATGCTCATCTGACAGAACACCGGCACCAAGGTGTACAACATGGATCCTCTCTAGATCAGAACATCTAACAGACACCAAAGCTCTTCGCTCCATTCCTGAGGCATGCAGGAAAAGCTGTGTTTATCCTGATTGGTCTACAAATTAAACTAACTGTGAAAGACTATGAATGAGCTTCCCCAGCTAACTGAGCTACAGTAACTGTTGGGTGAGACTTTTTGGAGAAGCATGTGGCCTCGTTCACTACTGTTTCTTGTTTGGTTTATTCTCCAAACATAAAGAGCACTGCAAATTTTAGAGCTGTCCTGACCCAAATGTTTAGCTCTCATACCTTCTCCAGTCCAGTAATCATCACATCAACTTTTAGGACCAAACTGCTTATATAACCATAAATAAGTATCTAATGGCAGCTTATAATAGGCACTGCGGACTTGGGTCCATGACAAATTTTCCCAAGGGGACAATAAAGTATATCCTATTCTATTCTAACTGAGGGAACTGGACTTTGGCTTAGTTTTCACACAAATCCAGAAGTCTTTGTGAATTCAATCTGCTCCCACAGAGCAACCAGTAGTTTAGGCGCTGATGTATTTAAGCAGCGTGAATGTCTATTCTCTTAAGCATATTCCAATTCAGATGCAAATCAAAGACCCATAGCATGTTCTTCTGGATTTATTGAGTCTTTGGTCAGGCTTTGGTAATGTGATTGGTATTTTGTTAAAATTGAAAAACCCTCACTGAACAGAGGGGGAGGATTGTGGCTTCAGCTTCCCAGCATGTACAGTTAGTGGTCATAATGCAATGCCTGATGAATGTAAATTCTCAACACAGAGGCTTGAACTTAATGGCCTGCCAAGGATTTAATGTCAGAGAGCAACATCACCCAACATGAAAAGGATTCTTTTTTTGCTGAGAAAAAGGTTTCAATGATTAAAAAGAAACAAAAAAAACAACTGCTAGATGTAATCACAATATAATGGATAATTTAAGGATTGAGTCATAAAATGATATTTTGATGAATAATAAAAATACAAAGTGTTGCGATTTAGATGTTATACAAAAAAAACAAAAAAAACCAACAGATTGGAGCTTATAGACCAAAACCAACGGATACAAGCGATAAAGAAAAAGGGATGGTGTCCAGGGAGAATGGAGGAAGAGAACGGTTCTATTGGTTGGAACAATGGAGAAATAGGAAGGATGATCAAAGAGGTTAATGTGTGAAGTTTACTGTGCAGAAAGAGAAGAAGGGAGGCTGGATGAATGATGGGATTGATCCTTGGAGGGAAGACCAGGAAGGAGGAGGTGACAACTCCAGGAGTCAAACAAATGGAAGATTTGAAAGAAGAGGTTTGTGGTGTTAGTCAGGGCTAAAGATCGTCTGAGGGATGTCCCGATGTTTCGGTTTTACAGGAGCACCAATCCAAAGCAGCTCCTTCCTCCCTAACTGGTTCTGTTTGGTGATTTGCTGCTCAGATACTTCACCGCTTTACAAACTAAATGAATCAAAACCAAAAACTTTGACTGCTTTAACATCTGAAAAAGGTTTAAGGAGGAGAGTTTTGGTAAATAAATTGAAATTATCTTGTAATTTTGATGAAATTTTTAAACTGATTTGATTCGTTTTAGGTGTTTAAATACATTAAAATCCTAAAAATAAGGTCCTGTTTCTGGCTGGACACCCATTTCCTGCCTTGCTCTGCTTCCAGAGAATCAGAATATAGTAATCTAAACGTATTAGTGGTACCCTGCAGCTGAGACCCTCAACCCATAAAGTTCTGGTCTGGTTCAGGACATCCTCTCAGGTTTTAGTTTGAAGAAGAGTGAATGAAACTCGAAGAAAGGAACGTGAAGATTTAGAGGGAGTCTGGCAGCAAACCGACACATCCAGGTGTTACCTTCTTCTTCTTCTGCTCTGATAACGGTGAGGCTCGCCGAACACGCAGCCTCCCCGGCTTTATTCGCTGCCCTGCAGGTGTACTGCCCCGCGTGCTCAGAGAAAGCGTCCACTATGATGAGCGTGGCGACGTTGGTCACCTCGTCGAAGTGGAACACTACGTTCTTGGAAGGCTGGACCGGCTGTCGGTTGTGGAACCACCTGATTTCCGGCTTGGGGGTGCCGGATACGCGCGCGTGGAAGCGGGCCACTTCCCCGTGGCTCACTGTGAAGCTTGTGATTGGCTGGATGAACACCGGCTTTTGACCAAGCGCTTTCTTTAGGCTGGAGGAGACGTGCCACTGAGGCTCAGCGGGACCAGCCACTGTCTGACTTTGCCCTGAAAGGAAGCATGTTCAGAGCCAGATCTTTATTTACTACATTTTTAGTCCTCACTAATGTTCTGCGGGGGACTAAAGGACTGACAGTTACTTTAAAAACAAGAATAGACTCAGCTTCAGAATCCAGGATTCATTAAAAACCAGTTTAAAGGGTTTGAAGTATCAACCAGTTGCTAATAAGAGGTACTAATTAATGAATTAATTAACATAATTAAAAGAATGGAAGGCATCAGCAGTTAACCTTTAGAAACAACTACTGTCCTCCATCAGTCTGTTTGGGTTATACAGCTGTTTAAAATGTTTAAAGGTTTCTCATATTGACAAAAAAAAAGAAGTGATAGAAAAATAAAGCGCTTCCTTTCCTGTTCTAAAGGCTTCGTCACTAAAAAAGGACTCATCTACGGAAGGGGATTAGGGCCACTGAAA